GTTGTTGTTTGGAGGGCCTGGGCTAGATTTGAACCCACCACCTTAGGTGTATGAGGCTGGTGCCTTAGCTGCTTGAGCCACAGGCGCTGAGCCAGTTTTTCATATTTTAATATCTGTGTGTTTATGGATAAGATAATGGGGCAATTGTGATTTCCTCTTAGTGGAACTTAAAGATTGGCAAGTTTTACCTTCATTGACATCTCAGATTAGATGAAATATACTACTTATATCTACTATCCTTTACAAGTTCTTTTAACTTAAGCGTTGGCCACCGGTGGCTTTCCAAATAAATGTGACTACTCTGATCTGACTCTCCGCTGAGAAGTTCTGCCCATGATTTTCCTTCCCTTAATCATCTCTCAGACTTTGAATCACCTAAGCCCAAGAGTTGGAGGTTGCTGTGAGCTGTGACACTCTAGCACTCTACTGACGGCAACATAGTGAGACTGTCTCAGAAAATAATAATAATTATTATTATCTTGGGCGGCACCTGTGGCTCAGCAGGTGGGGCGCTACGCCCATATACTGAGGGTGCTGGGTTCAAACTCAGTCCTGGCCATCTAAAACAGCAGTGGCAACTGCAACAAAAAATAGCCAGGTGTTGTGGTGGGTGCCTATAGTCCCAGCTACTTCGGAGGCTGAGGCAAGAGAATCGCTTAAGCCCAAGAGTTGGAGGTTGCTGTGAACTGTGACACCACAGCACTCTACCGAGGGCAACACAGTGAGACTCTGTCTCAAAAAAAGAAAAAAATAATAGTAATACTCTCACAGCCCTTCACATTCCTGATGCAACTGTCTTTTGCATCTTTTTCCTTTTTTTTGTTGACACAGAGCCTCACTGTGTCCTGGGTAGAGTATCGTGGTGTCATAGCTCACAGCAACCTCAAACTCTTGGGCTCAAGTGATCCTCTTGCCTCAGCCTCCTGAGTAGTTGGGACTATAGGGACCTGCCACTATGCCTGCCTAGTTTTTCTATTTTTGTAGAGATGAGGTTTTGCTCTTATTCAGGCTGGTTTTGAACTCCTGAGTTCAGGTGATCCACCTGCCCCAGCCTCCCAGAGTGCTAGGATTCCAAGCATGAGCCACCACACCTGGCCTGTAAGGTTAGATTCTGCCAGGAAAGCCCCAGGTCCTTCCATGGTAATGGACTGACCTTTAGAACAATGGGAGCCTACTGAAACCACTGAGAGGGACCCTGCTTGCTTAAGGAAAATCTACTGCCACTTAGGACCATTACTACGTGGGAAAATACTCTTATTGCATGCAAAACCAGTGTGCCCCTCACTGTACTTTTCTTCAAATCAGTGTCCAAAACTAACATCTTCCCCCACTCAAAATACACAGCTAACAGTGTGAAAAGTGGATGTTTGGGTGAATTCAAAGATAAAAAAGTGAAATCAGTGTTTTTCCAGGAAGTAGAAAAAAAAACAACTTTGCAACCCAGAGAAAGTCTCGCTATAAAGATGCCTTGACTGGCTTGGCACCTATGGCTCAAGTGGCTAAGGCGCCAGCTACATACACCTAAGGTGACGGGTTCGAATCCAGCCTGGGCCGCCAAACAACAATGATGGCTGCAACAAAAAAATAGCCAGGCGTTGTGGCGGGCGCCTGTAGTCCCAGCTACTTGGGAGGCGGAGGCAGGAGACTCGCTTAAGCCCAGGAGTTGGAGGTTGCTGTGAGCTGTGATACCACAGCACTCTACCCAGGGGGATAGCTTGAGTCTCTGTCTCAAAAAATATATAAATAAATAAAATAAAGATGCCTCGACTGCTCTCAAAATCTAGGGTTATCTAAGAGGCAGGAAATATCTCTTCTTTAGCCAGGGACACAATAGTTTGGGGCCAGCTTTATTACTGGTCTTTGACCTACTAGGTTTACTTTATAGGTTCTTAATAAGTTTTAAGGGGAATTTGCACATTAAAAAGAGGCTATGGGCGGCACCTGTGGCTCAAGAAGTAGGGCGCCGGCCCCCATACCAGAGGTGGTGGGTTTGAACCCAGCCCCAGCCAAAAACTTCAAAAAAAAAAAAAGGGTCAGCACCTGTGGCTCAAGCAGCTAACACACCAGCCACATACACCTGAGTTAGCAAGTTCGAATCCAGCCCTGCCCGCCAAACAATGACGGTTGCAAACAAAAAATAGCTGGTGTTGTGGCGGGCACCTGTAGTCCCAGCTACATGGGAGGCAGAGGCAGGAGATTCGCTTGAGCCCAGGAGTTGGAGGTTGCTGTGAGCTGTGATGCAACAGCACTCTATGCAGGGCAACAGCTTGAGGCTCTGTCTCCAAAAAAAATAAAAAAGGCTATGCCTGCTGAAACTTACCAAGGGCAATGTTTTCTTTTTTGAGACACTCTCAAGCTGTTGCCCTGGCTAAGTGCTCTGGCATTATAGCTCACAGCAACCTCCAACTCAGGCTCAAGTGATCCTCTGGCCTCAGTTTTTCTATTTTTAGTAGAGATGATGCTTTTTTGCTCAGGCTAGTCACAAACTCATGAGCTCAAGTACGCCACCCACCTCGGCCTCTCAGAGTGCTAGGATTACAGGCGTGAGCCACTGTGCATGGCCAAGGTCAGGGAAATTAATGGAACAGAAGAGACCATCCCTTTTGTTCACCTAGTTCAGTGCTACTTGAGTCCTGCCTCTGAAATATCATTTCATTCTAATTTCTATCCCTGACCAACAAAATACATACATCAAAGTTTTAGAAATACAAAAGCCACTTTAAAGGAATAAGACCACTTTCTGAAAGAAACTCAAGCTCCTATCACTTGATCTCATTCAATGTCAATGTACCACATCTAGGAATTACTTTTATAATGATAAAGACATCTTTTGATGGAACTCTAGTCTCCAGAGCTACCTAAGAACACTATAGCTGAAGCAGGGCAGGCTAATAGCTCATCCTGAAATTTATTTAGCCTCAGACAGGCTAAGGACTTCTGTGCATACCTGTCTTTCCAATTTTTCTACATGGCTGCCTAAAAAAAAAAATTATGCATGTAAATATATGCACACACGCGTACAGACAGACAGAAAGACAACAGAAAGGAGCGTTTTGCAAGTAGGATGGCACGATACCTGGGATGCTCTCCAGTTTCCTCCTGAGCTCTTCATTTTCTTGCTGTAGTGAAATAACCTCCTGCTCCAGCTCTTGGCATCGAGGACAGTAGCCTTCCTCTTCCTCCTCCTCCTCCTCCTCCGGCAGTGTAGATGAGGACGGGTGGCCGTGGGATTCAGATGTTGCTGGGGAGGTCCAACCACCGAGTGTATGCACAGGGGAGGTTGACAGAGGATCCACGTCGGCCAGGTGGCCATACTCACTGACTGAGGAGGTGTTTGGAGTGGGAAAGCTCCCCGAGAGCAGGTAATTTTGTAGCGAGTCAGTGAAAACCCTCAAAAAGGCCGAGGTCTGTTGTTTCCTTTGTATGTACTGAGTCTCTACGTCTACACCGTCTAAGGTCTGACTGTGGACCCCTTTCCCAAGGTGACACTGTTCCTGCCTGTCATTGTAACTTGAGCCTTCCTGCTTTACGCAAGAAATCATGGACTGGGAATGGTTGGAGTCCAGAAGTTTTCCTCCGCAATTCAAGAGGCTGAGAACTCGACTGCACTGCTGGGCAAAGGCATCCAAGATCATACGACTCTCTGAAACAAACAAAAGGACACATCAGTGACCCACAGCCAAAGGTGAGAGATAAGTAAGGGCCTCAATTTGGAGTTCAACATTCAAACATGTTAAAAATACGTATTTCTACTCCCTGTCATAAGCCAAGATGACACAGTGACTCCACTATTAATAGAACACATGGCTTCCTGCTGTTCTGCAACTGGTGGGCTGCCTGATGAGTCCCCCCCGGCCCCTCACTCTAGGAAACGGCTGGGCTGCAGCCCTGGGCACCATACAGACATCTCTCCCTCTATGGCATTCACTGGCTCGCACAGGTCCGAGCTCACACCTTTGGTTTCATTAATATCTTTGCTCTAATGAATTGAGCCAGCCACAGCAGACTCAATTCCTCATTGATAGGAGGGCTTAAAGCAATCATTACTTCTATTTCTGGAGTGCCCTTACGCCCTTGCTATTAATCAGCTGATACAATCCCCGCTGAGAGTACAAAGCTCCCAGATGCAAACTGGAGGAGAAAGATAAGTCTTTCTGAAGAGCTCACTAGAAATCTAATGTAAAACAAAGAGTGGGCCTATGGGCAACGGAGGAGCACAAAACACATCTAACATCTGCGTGCACGAGCCTTTAATTTACCTACTAACTTGGATTCCTTGTCAAGGCCAATGTTTAGGGCTGACCTTGATCAGTTTCATTTAAGAATCAGATGTGCCTCTTCTCAGGACCTCTTCATTAGACTGTCAGGCCTCCTAAAGTGGCACCGTGTGGGCACCTCTCAGCACCACCCCCCACACACGAATTCTAAAGCACCTTAATTGTCAAGTGGTGAAAAACAAAGAGCAAACAGAAAGCAATCAACTCACTGCAAAAACAAAGGAGGAAAAAAATAGCCCCCAAATTGTGAAAATGTGATTTAATGGTGTCAGGGTAAGGGGTCTTGAAAATTCGCCCTAAAGGTAAACGACGCCTGCAGATTTTCTCCTTTCCCGACTGCCACCCAGCATGGCTAGTTACAAACAGAGAGAAGAATCTTCTAGGGCTTACACAGTGGTATGAGGATGCCTCTTATTCCTGCCCTCCCCCAGCCATAATAATGGCAACAAACAAAACACGGGCGATTTTAGATGCCAGATAACTAATGTAACTAGCTACTTGCTGACCATTTTACTTTTTTTTTTCTGGAGACAAAAGCAACTTTTAAGATAAAAAATGGTGAAGTGCTCACGGGGACAATGGGCCAACACAGATACCGTGTTCCTTCTCCTGACTGTTCTTTCAGGAAGTAACTAGACAGGGAGGGGAGAGGGAGCAAAGCATACTTTTCCAGTCAGATAAAAACATGCAAAGCCCTGCACTGGCAGGGAAGAAGCATCCCTCGCATTTCCCAAATCTCTAAAATGCTACTACTCCCAAATGCCTCTGAAAACTTCAGATTAATACACAGAGGCCACATTTTTCTACCCGGGAGGGGACCATGGACTACACTGGACTGTGAGGCCAGCATGGCGCCCAGAGAAACAGTCACTGAGCAAATGGCAGGGACTCGTGCAAATACACAGAGGATCTCGGATTAGACAGCATTTGCAAACTTACTTGACTGAGTAGGGGATGGCAAGACCACCCAGAAGAGCAGGACTGGCCTCAGATGACCGTGCTCTGGGACCTCTCCCTAAACCCACCACAGCCCATCCTCTCCCCAGAAGTGAGGGACCCACAATCCAGGAATTATCTCCTCGGTCTGCTTGGAGGACTCATGCTGGTCTCTTCCCAGAGCCACCAACCCAAAGACAGACTGTGGTGCCAAGCCTGGAGGTCTGGATGGATGGGAGCACCCACACGTGGGCATGTGAGACCCTCCTGGTGGAAGATGAAGCGAGGGGTAGGCTTTGTGGGTTGGCTGTAAATCCCAAAGTCAACCTGTTCGTTACAAAGGTGCATGTGTCAGGGTAGGTGGATGAAACCTGTCTCATTTGACAATCTGTTAGCTTGATTTATCCTTTTTAATTATTTGATATACAAGGTAAGCCTACATTTAATATTGAAATATTTGACTCTTGTTCTGAGTCACACAAATATTTGGGGGTATCACTTCTCTACAGTGACCAAAATCAAACAAGAAAGTAAACAGTGGAACCATACAAACAGGAGTTTTACAATGTTGTAGTCTCGGCTAGGCACCTGTAGCACAGTGGTTACAACGCCACCACATACACCAAAGGTGGCAGGTTCAAACCCAGCTTGGGTCATCTGAACAACAATGACAACTGCAACAACAAAAAAAAACCCGGGCATTGTAGTGGGTGCCTGTAGTCCCAGCTATTTGGGAGGCTGAGGCAGGAGAATCACTTGAGCCCAAGAGTTTGAGGTTGCTATGA